AAAGCCAGATCAAAGATATAGCATTTATAAAACCGCTGGTTAAAAAGATAAAAGTGAGATAACAGACATCAATTTTTCACTATAAATCTCTGGGTTTACTACAACATTAAAATTTCCAGTAAAAGCAGGGTTTTATATACCTGAACTCTAATGGCCTATTCTGAAAATATTTATGTCAGGAAAAGCATGGTATTTGCATGCCAAAAGCAATTTTAGTGCCAATGTTTAGCATTCCCTTCCCATTTAACCCTTTCGCATCTACTCAGGAGCGTTGGATGCTCTGCCTAATGCCTGCCCGGTGCGTCTCCCCACGCGGCCCTTCCGAGGAGGACGCTCCGGGTGCAGACTAAGGCAAAAAGCTGAACACTTCTAATAAAACACCACTGCACAAAACACTGGCCTGATGGCTTTGGATGGAGTCTCCAAAGCATGGTCTGAAGCACTGATTTTCACCCTGCACACTTTGCACGCAGAACTACTCATTTCCAAGGGGGTACCTGCCTAGCCAGAGAGAAGGACAGGGACAGGAGGACAGGAAATTGGGCAACACGGTGCAACAGCTCAGAAGTAACGGGTCAAAGCTCTCTGTAGTGAGATGAGATGTCTGGAGGTAGGGGTAGTACTGCTGTACTTTTCTTCTAAAATTAAAATACAGGTGATTTCATTCAGTAAGAAGGAGGGCACTCGGCACCTGCCTGGCCACACGCAGCAATCGGCAGGATTGACGCTGCAGAAAACTATCGATTTTACCTATTTATTCTACAATAAAGTAAAACTTACTTGGGTAAAATAACACAGGCTAACGGCCTTACGCTGCAGTCCACAAGACTCTCAGAGGTATGGAAGTTGATATTACTTCAGTTTTTGCAAACTGTAATTTCCTACATTTAAGTAAACTTTAGCAATGCGAGCTGATTTTCAGCAAAGTTCTGCTCCCTTCCCTGCTTCATGCCAGCACGTGTGGGCCACAGCTTTTCAGGATAAGCCATTAACACAGAAGTAACTTCTCAAAACACAGCAAACATACAGAAACACTGCAAGTCTCTACTTGCCTTATCTCTCGGGGCCCTTAGGTTTGGGGTTTTTCTTGTTTGTTTGTTTGTCTGTTTTTATGGAATAAAATTAGATTTCAGCATCTGTCACCGTCAAGAAAAAAACTCATCCCTGGCTCCCACATGAAAACATTGTAACCAATGCACAGTTACTGAACCATGATGCCTTAATGATCATTACACAAATCAACTTTTTTTTTTTGTTTGAAATAATGAAATTGAGAACGTGCTTTCATAATTACTCGAATCAGACTGTCAGGTTATAAATTTAATAAAACCCCAATGTGATTAAATTGTAAAAGTAAAGTATACCACACAAATTTATATATGTGTAGATTCTTTTCATTTTGACTTATTCAGGTGTGCTGGTTAAATTTTAGTAAACACTGCTAATAGTGCTGTTCTACCACTAAAACCCAACAACCTGGGAGCAGACACACAGCACTTGGTAAACCTTTCTGTCTTCCTTTTCCATGCATTTTTCTAACGCTCTTTTCAAGATAATCTAACAAAAAAATATGTAGGTCTATTAGGCAGACAACTTGCAATAAAACCATAAGATTTTAAATACTGACATTAGGTGTTTTGCCAATTACAGTTCTAAAACTCCCCAAAGATATGATGTATTCAAGCAATTTGAATTATAATATCTTCCTTAGCTCCTCAGTATAACCATAGTAGCTTTTAAAGTATGTATTTTGAACTTAAAAGAATTTGAATTTATTCTGCAGATAATATATCGATCCTTAAAAACATAGAAACTTTAAAAATATACATAATGCATACATTCCTAAAAGGGAAAAGGATGCAACATTTGAAGGAATCTTCTAAGGTAAGTCCCTAAACTTGCTCAAACCCACGTGCCAGACAGTCCCTTTCCTTTGGGAAAGCTAACAAGCTGCCAGCAAAGTGCACCGTGAAACTTCACGTAGGCAAACCATCACTCACCTAAGGCAGAGCACGATCTCACTCATGTCACTGCAATCTCCTCCTGCTCCCATCACCCCTTCCTCGCCCTGCGCTATGGTCTCTGCCGCACCAAACCCTGGGGCCAACTGCTTTGTCGAGCATCAGGTCCGTATGCGGTCCTCCGTCAGCCCGGTAGCTCTTGCCAAAGGCACTAACACAGCGCAAGGGAAGACGCTCGTTTTTTACCTCGGTGCCACCTAAGTAGAAACTTCTGTAGCGCATCATTTAATAGCTCTTCTGTACAAAGTGCTCTGCTCAGCAGAACATTATCTGCAGTCTCCTGGCTCAGGCAAGCCCAGCCACCTTGCAGATCCTGGCTGCTTCAACACCCAATCTAATGTTGACCCAAATCGGTGCCTTTAAAAAATAAATAAATAAAAAGGCCCTACAGCAAGCAACTGCCTTTGTCCACTGGCAGAGCTGCTTTAGGACACATATTGTTTTGTACCGTAACTCCAGACAACGCCCAGCAGTTAAATCAGGCTTTTATATCCAAAATAAGAGCAGCAACCTTCAGTTTTTGTGATGTTTAAAACCAAAACTGTTAACCACTGCATCATTTTCTAACATATGTCCTCCAGGCTTTTCACTATAACTGGAAGTGATTCTCCCAGGATTTCCAGTTCTGAGTGGGAAACCAGTATCCCCAAATGAAAAAAAACCCAATGGACCTCTCTCAAGAGAGGTTCTCTTAAAGAATATGTCTGAACAAGCCACTTTTTTGTGCAAGGGAGACTTTGCCAAAAGAAACGTTTCTCTGCGCCACTGACAAGCTCCAATGCAGATTTTTTTTGCAAGTCAGACAGCTCCTTTAATGTATGTGGCTTTGCTATAGATTTTAAACTTACTGATTGTCTGACTAGTAGTCAACTCGTTAGAGAAGACCAAACACAGTCAGTTTACCTATGAGGTTACTCCCATGAAGAAGATTTCTACTACAAATGGCACTTTGGTTAACTACAGACCTGAAAGCTTGCTTGATACGTAAATTAATATTGCATTGCTTAAATCTGGGAGAACCTCCAAGAAGAGAATACAGGCATAATCTCCACAATAAAAGGAAAAAGAACTACACGTTTAGTGGTGTTTCTCTACTTGGTAGCAAAGTTTGCACAAGAATCTAAATTTTATGCCAATACTCTAAAAAAAGTGCACCTTATCCTCTGGAAGCTTTTGTGATTCACTTTGATTACCTGTCCCTTTTAGTGGAAGGGCTGTCCCAGCTGGAAATTTTAAGACTACACACTTAAATAAATACATTATCACACAAATAAGATCAGATCGAAAATTATGTGGACCAATAGATTGGCTTCATACCTTAGTTTTGTGGAGAACTGCAATGGAAAGGGGAAGGTGTAGAAAACGGACAGTTCTCTAACCCCAAGGCTTGACATGTAAATAAAGACATCTGAGGAGCACACAGGTTGGAAGCTGCTGTAACATTCTATCTTGATTAGAAACATTTCAAGAGCCCTGTAATTTCCAATCAAAATTACAGTAATTTCCGATATACAAGCCATGATTCATGACAGAATTTTTACATTCCATGGGAGATTATAGTGGCCTGATGTATGACACACTGAGTACAGCACTAACATAAACAATTCAGTTTAATGTTTAAACAGCACTTGGTGTTTAGAATCCCACAATAAAAGAAACATATTATTGCAGAAATTATCACTTTGACAGTGATTGAAGGGTAGGCAGGCATGTGGCCTATAAAGCTATAATTTTTACAGTCCACAGCTTGAGTTTAATCATTTTGATATAACATTTCCAAAATATCCCTTTAAATGCTCCTTAACAACATATAACTTAAGAGACAACATCCTTTCTGTACAATGAAATGGAGGAAACTCTAAAATGTGAACAACGCAGAAGTCAAAAGTTAAAGACTGTTAAAAAGAAAACCAGCACTAAAATGCTGACTGCCCAAGAAACACTGGTCTCACTGATCATTATCAGCTCTCCCTGGAAGATGCTGTATTTTTCTATGAAGCAATTTCAGAAAAGTAAAGGAATAGTGACTAAGTGGACTTAACATTTAATCTAACATGAAAATTCAACATTGCAAGCATTGGTGCCTTTACCGTTTCTTTCTAGTGTTGGCATAACAGTGGTTCTAGTCTTTCTCATTTTTCTATGTTTTTTCTCTACTTGCTTAAGTACATTCTCACTTAAATCAATGTTTTTGCATACTCTGGTGAACTTTCCCAGATGACATGTCACTTATGATAATCACACCCAACAAGTGCTTGCTGATTTCCCTCTCTTGCCACAATTTCTTGACAGAAATTCTTCAGTTGAAGAAAACATAATAGGAAACCACACAGCAAAGTCTTAAAACTGAATATGCAATATATATATACATATATATATGCACACACTCAGGTAACCAAGCAGCCACCGTATTCCACAAAGATCATACCTGTTTTCTCAGCTGTAACTTGTATAACCATAATTTATTGGGGGGTTTTGTTGGTTCTTCACACAGAGGAAGCTACTCCACCTCCCACGCACAGCCTCACCAGTGGGTCTGCTGCACCCAGGCCCATTTCTGATCAAGTAGTTTCTCAAAAAAAACCGAACCCTATCACTCCTCGTTACAGCTCATGAAAATGCAAAGCACCAAAGCCTCGAGATTAACTCGGCAGCAATATATACAGCTCGCACACAGCTTTTGCCATGTCCACGCCAGCTAGGAACTGATGAACCCGATGCTTTCCAAGCCATGCAAGACCCACAGGCACACAGCAAAGCCATCTCGCTGACAGGGAGGGATGTGCCTTGGGAACCCACTTCTCAGCCCTTCCCAGTCAAGGGTAACCAGGGGTTACTCTCTGGACTCAGCAAGGAGCTCGAGTTGTGGTACCAGGCTGACCCAGCCGCTCGTTGTAACTCACACAGACACAGATCACAATCAGAGGGGGGGAGAAAATCCCACAGAACAGGGAGGTTGTTGCACCCCGGGAACTTTACCTGGCTTTTGGTTGCCGCAACCTTTGCAAACAGTGCTTGAGACACCTTAGCTCTCTTCATTTCCTGCTGAATCTCATCGTAAATGGAAGCATTAATGTTCATGGAATTATTTTCTGTTTTTCCATTCCTCTCTGTAGCAATAGTAGCAGTTTTGACCTAGAAAATATATTTTATGAGACATTTTTCATTATGAAAAAGTTATTTTCCTCTTTTTCCCTCCCCAAGTAGTTCCCCTTTCCCTTTTATTCCTTTTATTCAATCTTGCTCTGATATTTTTTCAGCTTTTCAGAGACTTAACATTATAAGTTATCCATGGTTCAGGCAACTGGGAAACAAGAAAATTCAGCATATTGTAACAGGTGAGTGCATCTGAAATATGAGTTATTGTTAGCTGACCACCGTGAATTTCAATGGTATGAAATAAGTAGGTGGAAACCTGTCAAACATTCTTGTAGAGACTTGTGAATCTTCACGATTTCTTTGCCCCACACAAATTAAGTCAAAATTGTAACTGCAGCATAAAAGAATCTCTAATGAAATAAAAACCTGACAGATGAATCTTGATTCATGCTGTACATCCAGTACACTCAAACACATGATAATGTAGAAAAGTTGTGGCTTTAGATTTAACTTTCTAAAATATTGTCAGTTTAATTCTTAAGCTGTTTTTAAGAAAACAATATTTTAGAATAATGCATATTTTAACCACTCATGAAATCAAGACAAGTTTTTCTTAAAACCATTGATTCTAGTCACATTCGACTTACATACATAAAATATTTATTCTTCTTGTGGTCCAGATTAAGAAAGAAACACACGAAAACAAGACAGAATGATTACACTACCAGCTCTATGCTGCATCTGCAGCATTAAGGAAAACAACAAAATAGGTGTCAGTGGTGACATGATGTGCAGAAGACTATCCTTTCCTTCATCCTCTGGAAATGATGGAAACGGTGTTTCAACACCAAGAATCATCCCAGCAAGGATACAGAGCAGTTTGTGCAATATCAGTTGAGAGGTACAAAAAATCAGCAGGTTCTCTGCTTATCCTACAATATTCTCAATAGTTAAGGATAAGGTTGTTCTTTAGCAGCTACTTGCAGTGCGTGCCCAAGATGAGCGTACCACTAATCCTACAGTGGACCAGAGGAAAGGAAAGGGTGGATTTCTGCCAAGAACCCACAAGGTGATGATGCAAAATCAAACCTTTAGACTTCAATTCAAACCTACTGGTTCATAAGGAAGCTGTTGAGAGTGGAATTAATTTATCCACTCAGAAGTTACACGTCTAGTCTAAGGTAGTCATTCAGGCTACCTCTAAATCTAATGGACAGAGCTTGGCACTTCCAGAGGGTGATTCAGCCTACTCTTAAGTATGTGTCTAAAACCACACTTTCACTATCAGTTTAATCCAGTGCAAGTCAGCATCTTCCTGTGCTCTAAAGTCCCTTGAGGTTCAAAGGGAAATCATGACAACATGATAATTCATCTTCTAATCTCACTCTCTATGAGCTTTCCTATGTCACAAGTCTCATGATATGAGAGTCAAAGGGTTTGGGTGAGAGACGTAGTTAGGCAAATCATCAGCCCATTTTTTCCTAGAAATGTCACGCTCAATTTGTGTTAACTATCCTCCATAGTGCTTTTAAGATAAAATAATCTAGTTCAGGAACTGGGAGCGTATGCCACTTTTGCTGAGCCTGAGTTTTCTGTCAGGCTTTCCAGGAGCTTTGCTAACACATGCCCATTAGCTGCAAGGGGCAAAACCCCAGCAAGAACAAGGCATCCACACACTTCCATTTGCCTCCTTCTAGCAGGCATTACCACTTTCTAGGGTCTGAAAACAGGCGACTGAAACGAAAAGGGAATTCAGGAAAAATCCCAGAATGTGGCATACAGCTTATCGTGTGATTTACTTTCACCAAAAACCAGCTGGTGACCTGTAGAGTGAGGCATTTCCTTTTCTGTGGTGTGACATTTTACAGGTGACACTGCAGAAGAGGATGGCCAAGCCTGGGCCGACGGCCGCTCAGAAACATTTGAGGCACCTGGCACTCAGCAGCCTGAGGAGCAGCGCCACGAAGCTCCCTTCTCCCCACCGCGGAGCGGGGAAACGCATGCCTCACACTGGGCAAATCAGCATGGGGCCACAAGAGCAGGTGCATCTCCTGAACACCATACAGTGAAATCATCTGGAAATTACAAAATCAGTGGCAGTTTTATAACCTTTAAATGAAAAGGATTCACTAAAAGGGAACTGACAGTCAATGGGGATGTTAAATATACAAGTGGAGACAGGGTTCTCTGCTTGCATGTAAATGCTAAGCTAAATTAGAAAATGAAAAAAGCAAGGGCTTTGTCAACACACCTTCCTGGATCTTGGGTTCAAATTTTGACAAAGTTTTTTGAGTCCTTCTCAAAGAAATATTTCTAACCTGTAAGTAATCTTTGAAGGTCCCAAGGGGAGGACAAGAAGACAAAGGTATTCAGCTGGGATACACAAGTTCACGGTATCTTTTGGAAAGGAAACACTTTGTTCTTGTGATCCTGACTGCAATGGCTCTGTTCTGTAAGCACACTGCCTTTTTGATTGCTACGCAGCATCAAAAATCAGCTTCATGTAGCAGCACTTCATAGACTACTTAACTGAGCTGTGAACACCTAGATCATCGTAAACCAAGACTTGCACACCATGCTGGAGACATAATTTAAATTGTGCATCTTGGTCCACACTTTTCAATGCCCAATTTAATATGGATATGCACATAACTCATGGGAATTACTGAAAATCCTCATTCTGGTTGGCAAATCACATCTATCTTTACACAGGTACAACAAACTCAACAGCATCTAATATCTTACTGAAGTTTTTTTTTAAAAAAAGACAACTTCTATTGTCTTCTGTTGATATTGAATTAGGACGTGAACAACAGAAAACACTAATATCTGCATCAAAATGTCATATTAGCACAAAGAGCTTCAGGAGAACAAAGTCTTAAAGTCACAAAATGATAGGTTTGGGGATTATCAAGAGATGTTGTTCACAGCCATATCCTCACCCTCTCCAATTTACATCATTGGCCAAGTATAAAAATTCTTCCCCTGCCTCTTAACAATTTCTCTTCAAAGATCAGGTATAGACTGCGGCTGGACTAGATGGACCATTGGTCTGCTCTGGTCTGATGAGTTCCATGCAATAATGCTAATTAACCTCTTGGAGAATATCCATACATAAAACTGTTTCATAATTTATACATACCAAGCATCTAGGCTGTTGTGTTGAATTTAGAATTGAGTTCAAGACAGTGGCTGTTTGAAGCTGGGTTGAAAAAACACCCTCCTCCTCAAAAAAACCCAACAGAAAACAAAAAAGCCCCCAACAGTGCAACTTCAGGACTTGGGAGAGGAGGTGGAAAAAGTATTCATTTTGGAGAGAAAAACAAAACAAAACATAATCTCTCATCTCATCCACACTTAAGCACAACCTCTCACCCCACCCACATTTACAGCCACATTTTCTGTTTAGGAAAAAAACCACAGATCAGCTAAATTTTTTTTTGACAGTAACCAAATTTTGCAAACACTAACTGAACAGGGGAGCATTATTTTACAAACATAACACTGAGAAGCAGAAACTCGTTTGGCCATCTTCCTATCACCAATCAATTTAGTCGTTTAGAAGGACCTGGAAAAAAAAAAACCAACACAACACATCCGTTCCCTTCTGGCCTGCCCAGGTATATATCTTCTCATCAAATAAGACTGATTACAGTAGCATGAAGTTCTGGATTAATTCAGTTTTCCCAAACAAAGGACAGAAGGAATAACCAATCTGAAGAGGTTTTCACAAACATGGAAGCTCATTTCTTCCCCATCGAAACCAAAACAAAAAAATCTTTTATAACACATTCTCATAACTACCGTTTTAGCTTGGGAACAAAAATCTTCTTTAATCCTGGTTTAGCTTTTAATATTACATCGTACATTAAAATTCATAAAGTAGTTCATTCCAGGCAAAACAAACTACTTTTCAGTTCTGCTCTGCAAATAGCACAGGAGGTACAATAAATGCTGTTGCTTTCAGAACAGCTTTTATCAGGACAAGGTTTACTACTCCATTATTACAGTGGCGCCTGGAAGTGCAGTTATAGTTAAGTGTCAGGGTTTCCATTAACTCTTCTCCATGGTGGTTTTTGTGAGGGGGGTGGGGAGAGAGTTGCATTTATTATTTTGTTCATTTTCACTTTCATTAAGATGCAACTGGCAAAAAGACTATCAACCTAAATCTCAAATTTTGCAGACTTAAAAATAAAAATTTTGCTGGTGGTGACGTACTCTGTGTGTGTGTTTGAACTCCAGGGCTCCACCGCCAAGTTTCAGAGGAGCCGGTGTTATCCAGAGTTCCTTGCAATGGAGGTTCACTGGTCCTCAAACACCAGCAAAGCAGTGGTCCTCCTCAAGATCAGTCTTTTAAGAGTGACATCCCATCTCTGGGACCCAAGCTGAAATTTCTTTAGCATGAAGGAACTGTAACTTATCTGTAGTCAGAGTGAGGCCAGGATTATATTTATGAAAATGGAAGTTTTTGTCAACTGACAAAGACCATGACTCATGACCAATTTGTGGATACCTCCTAAAACATTGCCTTATTAAAATTATATTCTGCTCTTGATGTTACACGTACTCTGCTTTTACACAGGATGATGATGGGCCCCAAGAGTTAGCACAGATTTTCTTTGGGTAATATGGAGGGCAAGGATGTCTTCCTCAGCTCTGCTGAAACTGAGATTAAGTGTCCTGAGAAGGAAGCGTTCAGAACTGCAGAACTGCTAACAAGCTTTAAACCAGAATATTTTGGAAAAGAAAATCTGTGACTTGGTCACCTGTCTCCATCCTCCCCCCAAGCTGTACTAAGGAGGGGGAAGTCGTCTTCCCTCCAGCCCCCAGACTGCCTTGATAAGAGGGAGAAGCCATCCCTAGCACCTCCCTGGAGAACTCCATCCATCCTGAACATAGCTTCACACTCAGCATCCTCTGAAGTGTTCCCACTACGTGCAATAAACTCATCCTCTGAAACTGACTTAGGGATACCCAGAAAGGACCTCAGTGGGGGTGATCTGCAAGATGAAGATGTTAAAGTGGGGAAAAAAAAATATAATATAAGAAATAGAACAAGAAAGGACCTTTTTTTCTTGCTTCTAGGTTGCAGAAATTAAACTGTATCTCCATGCAATACCTACCTGATGGAGATGCTAGTATTTATAAACTTCACTGCCCCAGGAAGGAGCCTGATAGACAGGCATCTGCCCCAGGAGGTGGCAAGATGAACAACGTCCAAGGGAAAAATTATTGTGTACGTCGTCTCCTTGGGCTCAGTCCACCAGTGTGGAAGACAGTAGCAGACTTTTACAACTTGACCAGCTTAGAGGGCTATACACGTATCCCAAAAGCTCATGCATTAGAGGCTAATGATTTCAATTAAAAAAAAAAAGTAAGATTTTGCTTTTTTGTTTAAGTCAGAGAGAAAGGGAGCAGTAAGGGGGACAAAGAGCTTCTTAAAGGATTTCAAAAAAGAATTGGAAACAATCCAGATACATTAGCTCAAGTAGCAACTAGTAAGAATGCTGTAAAAATGAGATAAATTCAACACAGTTCCTTCTAACTCAGGCACCAGGGTTTATGCTTGGTGAGTTCCTACTATCCTATCAGACCTCCAAGGTCATGCTTTCTGTTTTTGCATGCAACAGTATGCAAAATTCACACAGAACAAGCTCAGCTGCTAAATGGTTAAGTCTGCTCTACTGTCTGGCCACCAGTTGGCAACACAAAAATGCAAAATAGATCCTTTTCAGGATGTTTATTTTCACATCCTTCCGAAACTGATAACTTGCAATTGCAAAATAAACCTTCATGTGTGGCATATTAGCTCCCATTTTTCATGGTTTCATAGTTTAATTGTTTAAAATGTTACACTGGTCTAAAGATTTAATATTAAATATGTTGGCTCTTGTGTAAATTCTGTTGTCAGGATAAACGGTCTGTTTTGTCTTTCAATAGTTATCCAAGAAGCTCACAGCTAAGCTAGAAAAATATGCTGTATTCCTCTATAGTGAGCTTTAAATAATTGCTTACAATAAATTTAGTTGTAAGGATGCTGGTAGTTTTATTTTCTTAGCATCAAATATTCAATAAACTGTGGACATTTGGGGGGGGGTATCAGAGTAGAAGTTTGCATTAACAATTTTGCCCTACCCTGACTATAATTTATTTCTGCTACAACCTGTAAAGTTATACTTGCCAGTGCAATCATTAGAATAATTTCATTATTATTTCTAGCATGAAGTATTGAACTTATGTTACCAACACTGATATTTCAATTTTCAAATTTAGGGTTCACACTTAGTAGCAGGTGTCAAGTGCTACATGTTTTTGTAAATGGGTAACTCTGGCAACATGTAAAAAGGTCACACAAAATCCCAACTTGGATGTTTCTACATCTTTGGTCCATCCACTAGGTAAAGTGCATATGTTTTGCTGAATGACAAAGAACAATATAACAGCTAGAAAAATAACTGTTTTCTTCTGTAGACCTCAAGTCTATAAGGTTTCCTTGTTAACCTGTTTTCCTTTTGAAAAGGATTAAAACAAAACCGTATTCTGTTTCCAGTTTGGGCTAACTGTATTCCTGACTCCCACTAAAAAAATGAAACATAATTATGAACAAGAGCACAGTAGAGACAGGTAGATTCCACTCCCTCCAACCCCTAAATTTGGACTTGCAGTATGTTTTGTCAGTTAAGAAAACCCCTAAGTCTCACTTTCTTTCCGGCTGCAAGGGATTTTTATAGTAAATTAAGACCAACACAAGGTCTTCCTCTGACTCGACATCCTTCTGGAAGGTCCTGTAATTAACTCTGTTCTTTAGCTGTGAAATTGCCCAAGACCACTTGAGACAGAGTCAGACATTACCTTGGCAGAAAGAGATAAGTTAAGAAGGAGGGTTAGCCTTTGCTCTGAATTACCTGGGCTGTGGGAGCAAGTACAGATATTAAAACAAACTCAAATGTTATTTTAAACACAGTTATCTACATTTAACTATTTTCCACTAACGCATTACTATGTAAATAGATTCTCACTCTTTGTCTTGAAGAGTATCTATAGTGGATTTCACAGACTAAACTCAGTTAATGATAACAACACTAGACCATTAGCACAGTCTGTTCTTTCTGCTAAATTTTTTTTCTCTTCTCGTGAAAAGTACTGCAGCAGGTCAAAGTGATCTTCTGTCCTCCCTTTTCCTACAATTTTGTTATTCATTACTTCAGTCTGGTCCTTAGCATCCATTAGCTGCAGGAAAATTAGACAAATAACCTGGAGGAATTTATAGCGCTCAGAACGGGCACGGAGCACAGTCACAGGCACATGCCTGAGCCTGGTTAGTAAAAAACTGCTCTGTGTTTATATACCCGACCATCACAGAACTCCCACCATCCCAACGCCTTGCTTTGCATAGCAAACCTGGGCTGTGTATATACAGCACGATGCCCACATATCTGCAGATCAGTGTGTTTTGTCCTTGCATAAGTATAACCTCGAGCGACAGCAATGCAGGGTACTTTGGAAAAGGTACACTGTTTTTGGAGCGTTTCATTCACAGCTGTGTTTCTTCTTTGCGTTCTTTGCGTTCCTATGCGTTCCTATGTGTTCCTATGGCTCACACCTGTACTTCTCATGTCCCTAAAAGCAGCATCTGAGTTTTCTTGACAGACACAAGGACTCAGCCACTGAATTTCTGGATTCCACCCTATCAAGCTTTATAATTTTGGGAGAACTAAACTAATAGTCCTACTAGATTTTACAGAAATCAATAGGAGTTTCATTTGAACAAATACTAAATAAAACTTTCATGAACATATCCCAGTCTTTCAGAGCGATGGACATAGCAAGTCTGTTATGTTATACAGTTGTCAGTAACTCAACCTGGTGAAACCATCCCCAGCATTTCGGGGTGCAGTCTTCTTCCCCCCATCCCTTTAGTTTTACCTGGTTTTTTTCTGGAAGATAATTTTTAAGACAATATGATATACTCATACTTTCATTCCCACTCAGTTTAGTGGCCCAAATCCTTCAAAATCCCTATTTGAACCTCTAACATTAAAACCAAGACTTGAGAATTATAGGGGAAAAAAAACAGCTGAAGGCTAGCATGGTCCAGTCCCAGTAAAGGTCATAGCTCAATAAAATGAGCAAAAAACTCTGTAGGGGCCATAATGGGTAGAATTAATCTTAAAACTAGAAAACAGGTAGTAATAAACTGCTACTACTCCCCATTACGTTTTTTAAATTTAATTTGTGATACGCACTGCAAATAATGATTCTATGAGCGTTTTGAAAAAAAATGCAACAGTAAAAGCTTTCAGGCTTTTTTTTTTTAGGAAAGGTGATCACCCAGCAGGACAGTGAGAAAACACAAGGAGGAAATCCCAAAGACAGAGAGAGGGGTTTACTTGCGGAGGCCGGCTGGGCGGGGTGCTGATGAGGGGCGCGGGGCCCATGGCAGAGGCCGCGTTCAAGCTCCTTTCCCTTTCGTCCTGGTAAATTCGATCTCGTTCGGCTTCTGGCAGCTGCAAAAAGTTCTGCATAGCCCGAAGGTTCACCAACAAGGACTGCGAGGCAGTCTTGGGATCCTCTTCCTTTCGGAGGATTTCTGAGAGCAAGCCCTGTAGGGAGGGAAGAAAAAAAACCACCACGGTGGAGAGTTAGTCGAGGTGGAACGCCATGGAAAGTCCTCTTCCCACTGGGCTGAGAATGGGAGCAGTATATGCACTATTCACCCCACCTAGGAATATATTAATGGCATTTCAGGTAGCAGAGAAGAGACCTTCAATTGTACCCTTAATTTTATTAAGCATCTGTTTTACATACAACGTAAACTGAGTCTGCCTAATACGCCTCCTTCCTTGTATTGGCTTAACTTGCCGTGAAATCTTTCACAGTCGACAGACAATCACAAGATGTTAAGAATAAGTGAAATACAGATAGTCCAGAGGCATGACACTGGGGTGTTCTCAGGCTTCTCAGACAAAATACATAGCCAACCCAAAAAAAATGGCTTTCCACACTTCTAGCAACTTTAACAGCTCTTTGAAAAGAAGTGATATTTCACAACTAATCTGAGACGATAAACTTGCAACTTTCTTAAAGTACTGATTGTCTGGCTCAGGTCAACATTTTTTATAAGTCTGTATTTTGTTTTGAGTTGTATATTGGAGTTTAACAAAAAGTGAGGAAACTCACAGTTGGATGCTCTCCTTCCTTCACCCTCCTCCCGCTGGCCCCCTCTTCCTCCCCAGGGCAATCCTAATCCTCACCCATTCCATCAACCTGGGCTATTTATTTGAGCACCTCCTGTGCAGGTGCCATTTCCTAAGTCCATTTACCAGCGCTGTGTATTTATGAACCTGTGAGTGCAACTAGAACTTTAGTGTCAACCGGCTCTTGAAATCTGCCCCCTGCCAAATTCACCTTCTAAATACATCAGGCACACAAAATGCTCTACTGTCTCGAAGTAACAAGGTGGTGATAAGAAACTAACTTTTGCAAAAGCAAATGCGAACTTCTTTTTAGAATAGATCTTGTTGCCGTGCTGGTACAAGGAGAAGGTTAATATGAGAGGCTTCTTGCTAATGGAACATGGGATCACGGATATGATTTTAAAGAAAGAACACTACTCTATGGTTGTTGCCAAGTTGTAAGTTATTTGAGATCATGGAGGTGCAAATGGAGGGAGGGAGGGAGGGAAGGAAGGAGGCAGACAGGCAGGCAATAAAAAAGCTAAAACAGAGAGAGGCAATCCTGGCTGAAGATATCCATTCCTAAGGGAGTGCAACAGAAAGCTGCAGCCCAAGCACCAGCCTCCTCTGTAAGGAAGCCTGATGGGCACAGCACCTATGGAAGCTGTTACCACTCTCAAAGGTCCTGTCCTATCGGCCAAAAAGCCCCTTATGAAAGTGCTGCTGCCAAGCCACTGCTCTCAGGCAAGGTCAGAGCCCACCCAGGGCAGCTCTGAGCTCTGCATTTGCCCCATCACCCCTCCATCTCTCGGGGGGGATGAGAACAGAGGTGCTAACTACACTGGGGCCCAGTGTGGTCCTCATGGCCCTGGCTGTGCCTGCAGACGTAAAAGGGAAACAGGATGGAGAGCACAGTCTTTCCAACACTAAGCATGAAAAATAATTTGGAAAAGGATTAAAAAGAAATAATAATCCTAGGGGATACTTTCTTACCACTATTCTTCATCCCTTCTCTTTTCTGGGATCCAGGCAGAAACTACTCAGAAGGTAAGTAAAAGTTACAGACAAAAGTAGCATTTGGCTGGAGTATAAGTTTTAAATTTTTTCTTAATGATTAGTCTAATAATAAATTTACTTTTTAGCAAATATGGAAATTAAACTCATCTAGCATTTTTTTCTACTTCTAAGTACTCAAACCCACAGTTACTATTGTTTGTCAGTGGTAGGATTACACGAACCATCCTCAAGGGAAGCAAAAAATGATTTTGTGCCACTGGAGACAAGACAAAGCTGTCTGCAGAGCACAGCATGTATGATGGAGGTGCAAACGTGTGATTTCTGACTGCTACTGCACCGAAAACACCACATCAAGATTTAAAAGAAGAAAGAAAAACTAAACTGAAGTGGACTGATCATTGGCAGGAGAGAAGACTCCTTACTAGCAGCCAGCCCACTGTCAGCCACAGGAAATGTCCTTGAAAAATACTTTAGCCCATAATAGAAAATACTTGCTCACATAAGCCTTTGCCACATAGTGGGCAGCTTAAAAAAGCAGAAAAAGCTGTTTTTCTTGTATAACTTTCCCCCCCTCAGTGAAATAAGTAAACAAAGAAAATTGGTTTTTGTATTTTTCCTGCACTTCTCGGTATTACCATTGCTGCAGGACACCTCTTGGTGATTAGAAATGCCATTAAGTAGTCGTTCTCCTTTTCTTACCCCATCAGTGCCATGGCTCTTTGCCTGAGCTAGAAGCAGAGCAGAGGACACAGATGCAGAGAGAGGAGTGGAGATGAGAGAGCGGGAAGAAGGCAAAGAGGCAGGAGGTGTTTGTTTCTAGGAGTTTTGAACCTAAAGGTCAGAATATGTGAGGAAATAACATGAAAAATACGGTGTACTACCACGTGCAGGCAAAATCTTACCATACGGTTTGCCTGCTTCACATATTGCTTCATTGCTACTGCTTCAATTTTCTGAGCAGAAACCCTTGGCTAAAGATTGTTAGACAAGATGGGAAAAACCTAGAAAGAAAACATCAGCTCTTGCATCCTGCCCCATGCTGATGTGCAGAGATTTAGTCTGCATTTTACCAGGCTTGAACAGGTTTGCCAAGATCCAAGTCTTGGTGTGACCTCCTGATACTGTACTTCAGGTTGCATGAAAGGTAAATACTGTTTTGTACAGAGATTACAAACACTGTCAGGCTCAGTGTCCTCACTCTTCCTCCCTTGTATTCTTTTTGCACTGGAAATGTATTTTCTTAAAATGTTACTAAGTCCCATTTGAAAAAAAACAAAGTTTACATGTCATCACAAGTATAATTCATTACTAATTGCACAAAAATGTTCAATAAATATTAGCAGGACTTTCAAAAGCTAATTATGAATTCTTTAAAAATGGAGATAAACTCAAGTGTCTGCCAATATGAACAAAACCAGTGCCTGTCTGGCCCCCAGTTTGTCTCCTCTTTGAACGTAATCACTGATTCAAGCAGATTTTATCAGCCTGATAGAACTTCAAAGCTCCCAGAAGAAAAATGTAATTTGCCCAAACCTCCCCAAAACATGCAGAACATCCCTGAACGTTCTCCCTCTCCACTGCAGGTTGTTCCCATCCCATGTCCAGGTGGAAGATTATTCGCAAGCTCCACCCACAAGCCTGGATCCCTGCCAAGTAAGTTATAAGCAGACACATTTATCTATGTCGCTTAGTAGCAAGAGGAGAGCTGTCATGATAGTGTAATAGCACCTTTTTACCTTTTATTCAATAGTGATATGGATAGTGTGCTTTTTCTTAAATTACACTACGAAGAATTATATGAATACAGTGGCAATTTCTGTTATACTTAAGCAGGCAAATTTCTCTCTACCACATAATTTACAGAACTCAAATTCAATAAAACATTACATGATGGTCCATTACTGTTATCAATTTTGAATAATCCATCTTCATTTTTCATTTTACTGGAAAATAAAGTGCGCCAAAGACAAAGTGGAAGAAAAAAAAAAAAAGTGCATGAGAAGGTGGTTTGTGTAAACTTAGATTTTGTATTAAAATTACACGGAGCCGTTTACTGCATCCAAGTGCTCTCCCTCGAAATAGCAATTGCTCAGAATTAGCACGAGCACAGTCCTAAATACACAGAAGTTATCTCATATGAGAGAGGGCATTACAGATGAACGAAACGCAACGTATCCCGGCAGCTAAAATTTTAAACAAGCATGGGGGTGAAGTAGAAAGGAGGGGGAGAGAAAAGGCATCTGGCAGAAACACTAAGAAGCACTCAAAAACCTTGAGATGAGAAACTGTCACTGGTGGGGAGGAGAGAAATGACAATAGTCAGGCACGGCAAAAGCAGCAAAAAGCACTCCCCCTCTTTTCTGCGAAGATGGAGCCGAGAGGTCACCCCCGTACGGCAGCGCCCGAGTCCACGCAGCAACTGTTATGGTTGAAAGTGCAGAGAAGGCAGAGGCAGGCAGCCCCCAGTCGCGGTTCCAACCACAACCATGACTAACACAATTCCTTGCTCGCGCACACGTCGCCCCGCCACGTACCAGCTCGAGCTGCGCCCTCAACCCAAATGTCAGACCCGCTTGTGGGAACCCAAGCTTTCCGTTTCCTGACTCATGTTTACATCTAAAAAGGCAGGGCAGAAATGGCAGAGGAGCTTGTTTATTTGTTTAGGGCTCCGAAGGTGGTTGATGCTCCGCTCCAGCTCTCTCAACAACAAAACAAAGTAGAGAGCCTCCCAGTTTAAGTGCAAATTCGCAGGGGCAGGCTGAGCTCCCCTGCTGATGAGGGGCTGCCAGGAGGCTGGCGTGGGGTACCACGCTGTGGGGGGCTGCCCTGATGCGTCGGCACTGTCACCCCCCAGGTGCTCGGTGCCACTTGGGCCAGCGAGATGATCACAAAGGCCATTTTCTGGCCAGGAAAGCACTGGAGAATACTGAACTCGCTCTTTCAAGAGAGCGGAGGTGTCTGCACAGTGCACTGACATCAGCTGGAAAAAATACTACGTTGATTAATTCAGCCAAACGGCAACCGAAACATAAGCAGCTCAATTTACCGAAATCACCCCAGCAAAACAGAGAGTGGGACACACACTCGGTAGCCATGCTTGAGGTGAAACTCGGATCTGCTAGCACAAATCCTGACTCAACAAACTTTTCCGTGGAGCACTACAAAGAGGTGCTAACAGGATTCAATCTGTTTCTTTGCAGCCAGTGAGCTGGAATCACAACTGCTGAAGGACGAGCAACACGTCAGACCCCCTGAAGCCTTCCTACAAGGATCCCTGAGAAATTTCTTGTGGGGAGAGATGCTCCATCCTCCAAGACCACTTCAGCTCCCTACAACAATTGTGACTGTACAGATGCTAATTTTCATACAAGTTATAGCCTCCTGGACTCCGATTAAACTTTGTGAGGCACGTTCCTGAGAACTACACATTTTTGAAACCACCATTTGAAGGTAGGGGGGAAGTTATCCAAGAAGATATTAAGGACACCTTGGCTGATGGGTTTTTTCTGCCTTATAAACAGATGATAATTTAAAAAAAAAAGACACCCTAGTTTTCAGAATTTTACCAAATTCTTTCCTTTGGGTTGGGAGGAAGCAGAAATATTTCTAGTCAACATTCTTCCCCCAAATAAAAAAATATTGGAATTTAGAGCCGTGTTGAATCACCACACTAAGCCAGTAGAACCCCCTCTTCGCATCCAAAACCCCCACCAAACTCTGTATTCATATTGCAGAGCACAAGTCTGTAAGACAAGAGGTGCCAACACCTTCAGCCAATTCAACTGAAGTCCATTTTTACTGCCAAAACATTGGGCTAATTTACTGTTAGTTTACAGTTCACTTCCTTCCTTAACTTTTACACTGAAAGCAAATCTCTTCCCTCATCTGAGACCGTATCTCGACATCGGGGGTTTTTTGCACAGAACTCCTAACCGATTTCAGTGAGATCTTCTGCCTTCAGAAACTGATGGCATGATATGGTCCCTGGACACGGCTCAAATCTGCTTATGACAGTTTCAAAAATGGCAGTGGTAAGCCTGAGCTAGCTTTTTATCTCAGAAAACAGTAGATGAATTTAAACAAGCATTTTCACTTGCTCTAGCCAAAAAACCCCAACACCAAACCACCACAAAATCCCAAAAGATATTACATCAATATTAGAAAATAACATCTACATTTCATCAAAGTCCTGCCTAATTTTAGTTAAATGTGATGTATCCTTGAATAACCTGAGATACACTCCAAAGTACAGCAAGCAAAACAAATTTAAATGCTTTCTTGTAACAATCACAGGTATCTCTACTTGTGTTTATACTTGGACATGGCTGCTACTGTGAGTACAATTAACAATTTTCAGCTTTGCAAAGGTGAAATGTGCCTACAACAAATTCCTCTGGATTTCAGTGGGGCTTCCCTTCATATTAAATGTATGCTGAGATATTTCCTGGCAACACTGAGGCTAATATTGCCTAGGCTCCTAGTATTTTTCCTTTCTGTTCCCTGTGTTTGCCACAATACATGACAAATACTGCAGAACCTTATGCAGCTAACTGCAGATGCTAATTTGACTAGCTAATACAATTTGTAGGATATAGGGACAACTACTCTCTGTTCTTTCAAGTAAATTTGGTTGAAAATTGCCAAAAATATATTACATATATATTTCGTATCTCTTCATGGCATTTGTTTTCAACGTTCATTTTGGGGTTTCCTCCCAGTTTTGTGTGACTTTGAACACATTTTACCAAGCGGGTTAACCACAACGTCTGTGAAAGAATTGAACTATAAAAAGTATTTAATAACAATTGCAGTAAGAACAATATATAGTAAACAGGAATCAGTATTTGCCCTAGAAATCTGGTTCTACAGTTGCATTCATCACATCTCAAGAGCATCTTTTTATACTATGTCATATAAATTCAATGCCCAGTCAGAACAAATTCTCCTTGTATTTCAAGGTAAAAAATACTGTTCATGCAGGGATGATAAAGACCAAAAACTATATGCAAAACTAGCTGACATAAAATGAATAAATGACTTTGGAGGGGGGGAGTCAGCTGAGAGAAGAAAACAAGCTGCTTTCAGGCAAGTCTGAGGAAGAAGTAAATATCTAATAAACTATTTATTTTCTGAATTATTTGCCTGGCTTTTTGCCCAGGTAAGATGGCAGCTGCAAACCATGGTAATTTGAAGCTATTATTATCTCAATACTTTCCAGTATCAAAATTTAAAATATTAAACACTGTATTAAACAAAACTATATGTCACTTATTTGTAAATATAACAACTGACACTGCCTGAACCTAATTTACATAATTTGCATGAGTTCATGTATCCCACGAAATTTGGTATGAAAGACCCAGATCTTGAAACTTCCTCTGCTGTTAGGAGGAAAGACACACACACACAAAGTTCTACAGAGAACCCACACCACAACTCTTCTTTCTTTCAGCTAAAGGAGGATGTAAAAAATTTTAAGGCGATAATAATTCTGAAAAATTACAAATGACATGCTGATTCAAATCTGGTCCCTGTGCATTTGAAATAGAATTTTTATTCTCTAAACCATGCAGGGAGAAACATCAACATTTCAAGAGAAGCCCAAATTATGATCTATTTATGATAATCTACAATAGACAAATTCTTGTTCCTTAAATTTAAAAATCTGGAATCAGAGAAAACTTACCTACATATTTTTAAAATATTTTGTCTTAAAAAAATTCCTGTTGTATTTTCTGTTAAAACAGACTTTTAAAATTTTGAGATCTTATTATTTGGAATTGGATATACTGACATTTCTTCCATAATTTCTGCTTGATTAAATTCCATGCAACATGGCATTAAGTTAAATTCATAGAGCAGAATAAATTATAACAGGGTTAGCTTCTAAAACAGGTGTAAAAAATAACACATTTTAGTGTTACTTATCAGCTTTGCTAGGGCTAGTTTTTTCTGCATTGAAGAGCTGAAGTATATGTTCTGACGTGGACATCGGCAATCTCAGCAACTATCGTTTTTGCAATAAATTACAAAAATAAATGAAAAGAGTAGATGATCTAAAAATAAAGCTCTTATTTTTTAATCTTTTCAGAAGCCTGAAATTATGTTATTAAGACTTTCACTATAAATAATAGAAATAAATGCAAAAAAGAATAAAAGACCATCTCTGGACAGGTTGTTCAGTGTGTGCATGTGGCCAGTTCAGATATACCTTTGCAACCCAAAAGGCAATCTGTTGGGTGACTTTTTGAATGGTTCTGTATAAAAGCTGTTTATGTCCTTTCCAGGAAAGATTATGTTTAAGATATTCATAAAGACTCACAACTGAAGAGGAACCAAGGAACCAAGGTAAGAACAGTGGGTATTGTAACAAACCAGTCACTGAGGGTTTCTGTACTGTATCAACATGGACACTGATCCTGCATGGAAGCATGGTTCCTTCACAGGAGCTAAGTGACAAGGCAGAAATGAGGAGAGAGACTTAAAAGGTGATGATTACTAAATAGAGAAAGAATTAAAAAAAAAAAGAAAAAAAGACAACTGACCTGAGTTCGGTTAAAAGCCACACGTGCAAATACTGCCTGTGAGATTCCTGCTCGTTTCAGTTCATCACGGACCCACTGGTAGATTTCGGAAGACACCTCTGTGTTTGTTGAGACCTGCTGCTCCAACGGCTTGTTCATGGATCTACTGACAGGAGGAGGGTGGTTCAAGTACTGTTGGTTTAAGGACTGCTGGGCTAGAAGTCTGTTCACTGCATACTGCTGGTTCAGCAACTGGGCCATTACCAGCTGCTGATTTACCAGCTGAGGGCTAATGGGAGTAGATACAAGTCCAGGGTGCAGGTTTGGAAGCGGGGTCCGAACTGATGGTTGACTACCATGAGAAAGCTGAACAGGGGATGGCGGCTGTTCGGCTGTGTTCCCTGGGACCGGCTGCTGACCGAAGTTGACATGGTTGGCACCTTGCTGGGATAGTTCAGAAAGGCTATCCATCTCAACTAGGGTAGAAAAGAAACATTGAGAAAGCCCACATAAGACCGAAAATCACAAACTTCACGCTTCTCACAAACGTCATAACAAAAAGAAATACATATAAAACGGCGCATCCAGATTCAAGCTTGCTGTACTCTCCAGCCTAGAGCAGCAGGCCCATAACATCACTGTTGCAGCTATTTGCCTTCAAAATTTACCTATAGATAATGGTGTACTGAATATTTAGAAAAAAAAAAATCCAGCAAACTGCCCATCATGGTCACTGGGCCCTTGGAGGAACCAGCAGAACATCAGAGGCAAAACCACGTGCTGGAAACCCCGTATGGGGAAGAAGTAACTTCCTGAGAGTTTTCCAGAAGGGCAATGGAGCTGAACAGGGAGCGTGGGGCTACAGAGCACATCCCTGCAGCCATGGCCGCAGGGGACAAGGCAGCAAGTCACCAGGGAGGGGGCAAAGACGAGAGATGGGAAGCCACGCTGTGCGCTGCAGAAGATGCAGGTGGAATGGTGAGAGCATCTGCACAAAGGGTAAGGAGGGCTGGGACGGGAAAGCAGACCCTGACTGGAGAGAGAAGCCCCCAGTGACTGGGTTTGTTCCTCCCATGGTGTCCCCGCCACGACATCTGCAGTTCCCAGCCACTGGAAATGTGTAACAAGCAGGGTGGGGTGCGGACCTCCCCATGCTCTGCTAATTTCTAGATGCTGCATCAATTGTATGGGACTGCTAGGAACTAGTATAATTTATGTAAATTACACAGATGGGCTGCTTTATCTTGCAACCATGTATGCATGGTTTTTTTCAGTGACTTGCAACATGGTTGATTTTTTTTTTCTTATATTAACTCATCTGCCTTGACACACCCTCCTTTTTAATTAACCACACAGTTTTTTAAACTACAAGAGTTCTTCCAGCTCCCCTCTTGTGTATGATAAGACAATATAAAATAACTCCAGGCTGATGTAACGGAGTCTCCTTTTTATCAATGTATGTCACTTTTTTCATTTTAAACAAGCTCAGTTCTAGAGCTTTAGCAAAGCTGGTCTGGAAATAGCTTTAAGAAAATATGCTTTATTTAAAAACCAAAACTCCAGTATCTTCACAAAAGTGTTGTAGCGTTTTTTTTTCTTATACTACCAAAGCTTTTTAAAAAAAAAAAAAAAAGGCAATCTGAGCTTTTCATAGTAATTATAGTCTTCACTAACAGTCATTCCATGCAAGACCACCCTTTCCTCCAGAAGGATGAGAGCTGGAAGAAGAAATTGGCATCTGGATTCCCACACACAGATTCCCCCTCTGTCCTATCATGGGCAGAAATTTAGGAAAAAATAAAAAAGGAAGGCAGGTTATTCTACAGAGAGGTCTGGTGCCCGTAGCCTGGACTAGCCCCCAGCAGAGCACCCGCTGCTCCTCCTCCATGCGGCTTTGGGGCTGGCACGGCCTCTCCCCCCAGCATTAGAATATTACACAGGAATACACACACACACTCATGTTCCCTATGCACCGTTTTAATTGTCCCCAAATAAATGGACAGTGAACCTGCCTTGGCAGATCACATAAGGCAAATTTTGCAGGGGTTGCCCCATGCAGGCGCTCTGCTGCCTCGCACAGGGACCACCTGAAACCAACCAAGGTCTTATCACCGACTTCGGTGGTCTCAGAAGAAGGGTTCAGTGTTGCACACAAGGTACAAAGTAGATAAAGGAAAGAAGCCGCCTTTTTTCACTAGCGGAAAGTAGAGATCAACCCAAGTGGGCCATTCACTTGGAATAGTAATTCAAGCAATTATCACAAAAGTGATGCATTGTCTTCATTACAGCCTTAAGCTATAAAAGGCAAGGAACCCGTTTTGGTAGATGAATGATTTTGCTTCAAGTACTGAAAGCTAAGTCAAGCTCAAAATTCAATTCAAATTGAGGTCCCATTTCTTCATTCTCTTGAAAACTACGTAGAAATTTCCTGACATAAAGTGTTCAGAATTATGTTGACAGTTTTAAGAAATAGTTTTAAAAAGGGTTAATACAGCAAGATAAAAGGTATTACAGAATTAGTATGTCCCAATGATGGATTTTTTTCTCTAGTAATGTACTTGTGCTTACTACAACAAGCAAACAATTGACACAACAACTATTTGTTAAAATTAATTGAAATCAGGGTCCTAAAGTTAGAGAAAGATATGAATTTATAAAATTACAGCATTCTTGTAGGAAGGCAGTGATAGTTATAGAACCCTGTTTCTTTAAATACACATTAGCCAGAGTGAGAAAAAAATACATACATTAAAAAAATCAGTCCGTCACAGCTCCACGAACAGGTTTTTTAAACAATTATTCTGGGCTGTAGAAGATCTCTAGATTTACAGAATGACAGCTTTACATCTTTGGCAACCCAAGACAGTTTGGCTGTTTCAATAGCAAATATTTATTTAAATGAATTCTTTCACTATATATGTACTTTCTACATCTACTCATCAAAAGCATCCTAAACTTATCATGAAGGGACCTGGCTTCTTATATGACTGTGACAGACCTCAACGTGACACATAATGGTATGTATCCACCATCACAGCAATTTTTTTTAATTTTTTTTTTTTTTGCTTACCCATCATATCTTTTGCCTTCTTGAAATGTTTATACCACCTTCCAAATTCCTGACATTTTGCTGCTGAGACATTTGCATAGTAAGTGCTGTTCACAATGGAAGAAATCATACTCTGTGTGAAAAGGGGAGAAGAAAAAAATAAATCTGTAATACAGAGCAGTACAAGTCAAAGCACAAATTATTTCAATTGTTGAAATCATTATATTTTTAGAGTTTGAGAAGCATACTGCATTTTTAATCTTATCGGCCAAAGCCTTTTAAAAAACTCATTAATTGAGCATAAAAACAAACCAAGATATATTGTAAATGGGAGCAAAAAAATCAGATGTACTAAGGGAAGAACAAAGTTATTGACCAAGAAACATCAGGCAATGGGATGGGCTCTGGAAGGATGATGCTAATCTTGAAAGCTCATTTTGTTCATACTACTTCTGCTTTTGAATTGATTGACCCTTCACGTACCCACACAAGTTTACAGGCACACAAATCCCACACGGACGCTAGAAATGCAAGCAATGCCCCAAGTTATCCATGCCCATTCCCTTTGTGCCACTTATCACAGGGCAGATCCCAGAAAATAATATGGTGAAAGTACAACCGAAAGTCCTATTAGTAGGATAAAATAAGGGGGATTATAGTAGAATAAAATATGTATGTAACAACCCAAAATGAACCCAGACTTGCTTTTCCTAAACAGGATATTTTAAGTGATTCACAGAAACAGCCTTATGGAAAGCTCTCATTGTCATGTCTAATTCTGTAACTGAGTATTAGCTGTAAAATAGACTAAAGGATGATAGAGATGATTTTTTTCTCAAAGGTTCTCGAGATATCAGATAGCTACAGTGAGAAATTTACCTTCTGCTCAGTTTTGACCAGTTTTTAAATAGTGGAATTTACAATGCATAAAACTTTCAGTTCCAGTACATTCTTTTACAAAATCAATTAAGACTAAGCCTTGCAAAATGAGATAATGCTCCAACTTGAAAATTATACTCAGTATATGATGTATGAACAACAAAATTAGCAAATGTAATTTCAATAGACTGAACTTTGCCACCCTTTAGATTTCTACATGGAAAGTAGTTACTTTTAGCTTAACTACAGGAATTGTCCAGCATATTGAGAAAACAATGACAGTCAAGAAGACAAAGCCCTGATTATTATGTTTCTTTGCTATTCAGCATGTAACATTTAGCTGTATTTGTGCTGTTGTAAAATCGATGTACAGCATCAGCCCTTTGTTACATGAACTGCAATAAGCACGGAAAGAAAGAATCTGGAGTAAAAATGCAATAAATATTACTATAAGTCTTCTTTTATAAGGCTAGTTCAGCTTCTGAGTAAAACCTTGATTATTGATCTTAGCGAAGTTTATGATAACCATTTTCTAACTTATTACTCAGTAACATGCTATTTGTGGAGAACTGCTAGAGTGAGGCAGTATTATTTATGCCAAGTGTGGACACCCTCTACTCACCAGGCAGCTATTTTAATGTTTCTCTGAATCACCAAAATTCTTACCATTCCTTGATATTAATCTGGCATTTCTGAAATCAGCTAGAAGCCTTTTGTCAGTAGTATAAAAGGAGAATGAAATCTTAATAGACTACTGCAACTCTAGCCTGAATGACCTGAACCAAGCTCAGCTGAACCCAATTTCAATTTCCAATATAATAGCACTATCATTAATGTCTAATACTTACAAAATTATTGTTTAAGCTCTTTTACAGATTAAATCATTTTAAACATGGGCACATGATACATAAGGCGTGATTTAGAAAGTCCTTTGGATCTGAGCTGGTAAATTATCTCAATGCACAGTCACTGCACATGCAAAACCTGCCAATCTGCACGTGCAAAATGGGGAACGCAGATGTAACGGGCACCATCCCATATTAGCTTGTGCCTATTTTGTGGATCCCATTTAGAGTTCAAGGTGGTTTTCCTTCATTTTACTTTGCCCCTTTCAGATGTCTTCTTCTGCCTATGTAACTTTAGTAAGTAGGAACACGTGTATATTAATAATGATTTTAGTAAATTACCTACTATTGATGAAGATGTTTGTCTAGGATTTCCTAGTCTTCCCTTCCATGTCATTTTACAAAGAAGATATGCCAATGACATAGCAGTTTGTGACATTCCCTGCTTCTTCAGGAATAAATTTAATGCAGTTACTTTATTTTACAACCAAATAGAGGACCGGTCTGTTTAAATAACACGGCTAGGAATTTTAGCTGCTTTGACACAACGTGAATTTCAGGCTCTGATGGCTAATATTGGGATTTTGCTCCAGCACTTCAAAGTTGATAAAAAAAAAACAACCACAGACATTATCAACACATTTTAAAATGAAGATTATCCTGCTTTTTCTTCGAGAACACTTCATGCAAACATTCAAGTGATATTACCTACGCTAAGAATCCTCATCAGGAGGAATCAATGATTTATTTACTAATTCACTGAAGGCAAAATTTTACAAGCCAGATAAAATATTACTACCTTGTTAACTCAGAAAATAACTTGACAACATTGAATTTCATTGTTTCTATGCTTTATTTATTATGTTGTCATCAAACCAGGAGTCACATCAGTGCAGAGAGATACGCTTTGCTATAGAAATTCCTATATAATTCCTGTTGCTTTAGAATTCCTGTATGTTTTAGTGGTAATCTACACATACAAATGCCCAGTATGCTTAGGGCTTAAACCTGAAGACTGACCCTATGAATTAGTGGTCTTCAGAGAACCATGATCTAGACTGGAGGAATACTGAAGTTTTTCTTTTTTCCCAGGTCATTACCTGTGAGGAGACCCCATGTCTTGGCTAATACTTATCAATAACCAAAATGAAGATGATGGTACTTGAAACACATCATATTCGGATACTACTGTACATAGGCATTCCTTATCTGGGCGGCACAGAGGCAGATGCTTTCCATGGACACGGATGACGAATATAAATATCTATTACAAATATTCAAATGCACCACATTCATCACTCGTCATCTGATTTTTCACATGCCATGAAGAAAATAGATAGAATGCAAAAACTGGTCACAGAGCCACAGTCTCTGCATATCTCCTAGAAGTTTATCCTTGAAGCTAGGTTGCAAGACTCCAAGATCCCAAATTTCCCTCTTTCCCCTCTCTCCATCCCTCCCCCAGTCCCCAATCACATCACTCGCAGTCCTGTTCTGAGAATCCAGAGATCTGATCTGAAATGGCGCCACTTTCACAGAATTCCCACTATTCTGGAATGATACCATCTGCTGCAGCCCAAGTGCTCTTTTTTTTAGCCAAATAAGTTAATTATAATTAGGCATCCAACAACTGTGTGGAGGTAGGGGTGGAACTCATTCTGAAGTTCAGCTGAGGTTCACCCAGCGTAGTTTGAACCAAATCCCTTTCTCTCAGGAAGATTAAATACCAGAGATGTGAAAACCAGCCACCATCATCTCTCAAAGAAGTTGGGGAACTTCCCTGGAGAAAGACCTTAAATCTCAATCAGAACCCAATAAATAAAACCGTATAAAATGGTAGCATCAGACACCTTGCGAATTGTGCCAGAACCTAATGCAAGGTGAGTCCTGCAAGACATGGGAAGGACATAAGCCTTCCATGCTGGCTGGTTGCTGCAGCCACCACTGCAGGTGCTACCAGGGAGGGACTTCTGAGTCATTACCTCTAACGCTGCTCTCCCACCAGGTGAAGTATTGTTCGATCATCGCTAAAAGTGTACTGTTGTCCTTTTTGCAAAACAACAAAAACAATGTTAATCAGGTTAATTCAATCATCTAAACCAAAACTGTTCATGCTTTTCTGCCAAATCAACCAACCACAGCAAAATCTGTTATCAGTGATTGCTCAGCTTCCAGTCAAAAAAGCTTTTAACCCCCACAGTCCCAAAACTTCCCCTAAATAACCTTAAAATTATTTTTATATGGGCAGAATGAGGTTGTTTTCATGCCTCATGAAGGGGTAGTTGGGCTGCAGTATTTACACAGAACAAATACGTACTAACAGACTTAGCAGAGAGTAACAGACAGCAGCTTCCTAAAACAACTCGGCTGAATTAGGTATCGGGGATTCCTTTGCAAATGAAACATTTCCCTCAAAAGGAGCACTGCAACCAAAACTTATTTGGGCCTTCCAGGTTGTTTAACTAGGAAAAAAAAAACATCCAAGCTTTTTTGCAACTCATTCATCGGTGTTTAAAGCTTCAAGCCTGCTCAGTGGAAGGGGCAAGGGCTACAACAACTTATTTACACAATTATCTAAATACGATTAAACAGCTGATGGACAAATATTAAACTGGAAAATGTATAGTCATTTCAGCTTAATGTAATCCTCTTTCTGTAAACACCCAAGATGATTTTTTTTCAACCAGAACAGTCCTGACATCTCATAAGCCTAAGGGTGAATAGCAAGAGATTGTTTTTGATAGTTATAAATATTCAAAAGACATGCAGACCATCTGCTTTCATAATACAGGTAAAGCAAGACTGAAATGGTGACTGCTGTATAAAAATGGTTCTTTTAACAAAGTCTTCCTCTCCTCGAAAACTATAAAGACAGATGTCAAAAACTGTTTACACAGGGTAATCAGGAGCGTGCAAAATGTAATATTCCTTTTACACACAGTGCTTGCTAAAGAGATTTTTTTTTCTTTTTCTTCCCATCTGTGTGTTGCAACACATTTCTACAAGTTAAAAACATTTTTTCAAACAGAGATCTCATGAATACCCAAAAACATGCTATCTGGTTTCTGAATGCTAATTAATTTCAACTAAGGAATCTGATTTTTTTTCTGTAGGAAGGAATGCATGCTTTTGAAATGGAGTGCTTCAACAATAACAGACACTGAAAACAGAACACCCCACAAGTTTAATTTTGCACTAGTTTGACACTGGCTATTTTCACAACTGTTTTACATTCAAACCCACATCTGCTAAATCTGGCTATAAGACAAACAGGAACTATTCTGTGCGTTTCTAATAAGATTTTACTTATGTTTTAGTATTTATCAAGTTTTTCAGGAGAAAGCCTTGTAACAACATAATGGTTTTGTCAAGTGGTAAGTAGAAGATACCTCATCTTCCAAGCAGAATA